GTTTAAAAGTGTTCAGGAATGTTCAGGAATGTTTACGAATGTTGAAGAATGTTCAGGAACGCAAAGTTTTACAGAAAATTCTCCTGTTGTATGTTTTCTCAATCCAGCTTCCATAGTTTACCATTAGGTAAACTCCATTAGGTTCCATTACCATTAGGTTCTCCATTGCATAACACAATAATGTGTTCAAGAATGTTGATGAATGTATAAGAATGTTCAAGAATGTTCAAGAATGTATAAGAATGTTAAAAAATCTTCAAGAATGATTCAGGAATGTTGAAAAATCTTCCAAAATGTTAAAGAATGTTGAAGAATGTGCGAGAATGTTAAAAAAACATTCAAGAATGTTCAAGAATGTTAAATAATTTTCAAGAATATAGAAAAATGTTGAAGAATGTTAAAAAATCTTCAAGAATGCTGAAGAATGTAATTTAATGTTAAAAACTGTAGATGAATGTTGGATAATGTTGAAGAATGTTAACAAAGCCTTCAAGAATGTTGGAGAATGTTGAATAATGTTGAAGACTGTTAAAGGATGATAAAGAATGTTGAAGAATGATTGAGAATGTTTGAAAATGTTGGATAATGTTGGATAATGTTGGAGAATGTTTAAGAATGTTGATGAATGTTGAAGAATGTTCGAGAATGTTGAAGTATGTATACAAATTTTGAAGAATGTTTGCCCAAATGTCTGCTTCGTTATCATCAATTTCCGTCACCCTACAAACAACATTTTCATCGCACATTCTACCGACGTATTCGAGAATATATTCAAGAGACATATAATTACGCCTATACTCCACGCAACAGCGTTGCAGAATGTGAAACTTCACATGGAGTCGCATTGAAAGGCCAGCAGTCTAGTTATTTCTAATTAATCGAATCAAATATCCGTGTACTTGAACGAACTTTTTTTTGCTAATTAAAATGTTATTCCATTCCGTAATATTCTGTGAAATTAATGCTCCGGTTTGGCTATGCCTATAGTAAACGTCTTTTGTTGCGGCGTCTCACGATACCGGCGCCGATCGAAGCGGCAGCGAGATCGCTGGATCACCCGCGCACGGTAGAACGATGAACTCGCGTAACGCAATTATTGCAGTCGATCGTCGAGCGTCGACTCTGCGACTCGCGAGTGCGCGCGCGTGTCTTTCTGCTCTCTGAGAATGTTGCGCGAAATCCGCTTTTCGTCAGATGCCGCCGATATCCAGAAACAATGCGACGGCATTCGAGATTATGACATCTGAATTATAAACGGAAAAACTGCGCAGAGTTTGTTCCCGTTTCTGTCGTCATGCTCCGCGAGAGAACTATTCTCACGAGCTCGAAACGGCCGTCGGACGAGCTTTTATCCTCCGTTCCCGCTTTTTTCGACCTCGCTGCGACTTTGTCGAATCATTCAATTATCCGGTAATTAATTAATTAATTCGATGTTTATTTCGTAATCGTTGTGAAGGAAAATTATTCGTCGGCTTAAAATCGATTTGCAGTTCGACGTTCCGGAGACGTTCGTTGTCGCACGATCAATAATTTATGATAGTTCGCAACATTACGGTCTGTCGCAACGTAATTAAGTCCTCGCGGCACGGTGGTCTGGAAGACAGTGTTGTCTGGACAAAATTAAAATTCTCCAATTTTCGCATGTCGAAAAAATCTGTTTATAGTTTAATCGTTTACTTCCATGATCTCGCGACTTTTTTACTATAAGAAGCAAACTTTTTATCGGGATCCGATTTGTTTAAATATTAGTCATAGGATCTCCCTAGTTTGTTAGTAATACTCTTCAGAACTGAAAAAAATTATAACTAAATTTATTACTGTTAATTGTTATTACTATTATTATTATTATTATTGTTGTTGTTGTTGTTATTATTATTACTATTATTATTTTTATACCTAGCTGTTGGGGATCTTGTTGAAGATTTTCCCCCGCTATGAAAACCAAAAATCAATATTACTATTATTATTATTATTATTATTATTATTATTATTATTATTTTATTATTACTATTATTATTATTGTTATTATTACTACTATTATTATTACATTACAGCTTTCGCAGATCTAGTTGAAGATTTTATAAAATCCTCTATAAAATCCAAAAATTATTATTACTATTATTATTACCATTACCATTGTTATTATTACTACAAAATATATTATTCTAAAGATTATGCTTCACATAATCGACTTACACCATGGAAGTCGTGTTCCCGTAACGCAGTGCTTAATTTTGTCCAGAAAATACCGCTTCCCGGACCACGGTTAAGTCTGGCCAACACGACTTAATTAGAATTCTGTTACGCGGCGTTTACGAGATAGCGCCTTTCGCGCACGATTACAGAATTATTACGTGTCCACTTTCTAGTCATGCCCCGACCGGAGTTTTCGCTTGTTTTAGCGCCAAATGACATAACGAGTTAGGTTGGACGTGTTATCGTAAGAAGATTGACGGACCCTCGATCGTCGCTCAGCTTCGAACAAAGTTAGCAGGACGAATCGCGCGCATCGCGACATGTCGCGTGACATTTGATCGACGATTTGCAAGAGAACGTGGCCACTTTTGTTGAACGATGTCTCTTGGACGCGTCGCTCGACCTATATAATCCTTCCGATGCCGGTGCATTCGCTGACCCGGGCTCCGGAGCACCGTAACGATTATTAACGAACCACGGAACAATTTCTGCGATATCGAACAGTTTCTCTGTAATCAAATATTTTTATGTTTTTATAAGAAAAAATTCAATTATTGGTCAGCCATATAGCTTGTCGCTTGCATACAGGCTTAGAAAACAGAGTCCCCAAAATTATGCTACTTCCGGGAAATGACAGATTCCTGAGATCATTTGGAGCAACTTTTTCCTTTGAGGAAATGTTCTACGAGGCTTCGTTTACGAGTTATTAGCGATAAACGCTGCCCAATGAGAGGCGCGCGCGGCTGCCGCCACGCGGCGGAGCCAATGAGCGCGGTCGGGCGTCGACCGCAGGTTGGCGCGGCCGCCTCGCGCGCCTCTCATTGGTCAGTATTGTTTCGTTAATAACTCGTAAACGGAGCCTCGTAGAACATTTTGGCAAAGGAAAAAGTTGTTCGAAATGACCTCAGGAATCCATCGGTTCCCGGAAATAACGTAATTTCGGAACATCCTGTAGACAGCTGCCTTATGACGTAACATTCGTTATGGCGTTACAAACTCTTTCACTAGAACGTAAAATTAGCAATTTTCACAAACATAGAATTTCTAGGAATCAAAATTCTCACGTGAACAGATCCAATCCGAAGCTCCGGCAGCAACATTCAGTCACGACGTCCTGGCGACAGGCGTCCTCGCGAAAACCGACGCGGCCCCTATTAATATAAACAAGCGACGGCCTCCATTGCTCACGATATCGATATTCAGGACAGGCTGATCCAGGATCGGCTCGCCTCCGTAGCATTCGCCCGAACCGAGGCGAAACTCATCATCGATAAATTTCACTGAACGCCCGGTGTCGTAAACATCACGTGTCGTTGACTCGGATCGGCCATCTGATCGGTCGCGCGTCCTTCGCCGGCCGAGTCCCTGTCGCGTTACCTCAGCCTATGCGATCAGACCCGAACGACACCCCCCGGTCTAATGACACCCTACGGTGGCGGATCAAAAGGCGGCCGGCTCCTCTGCCGCGTCGAGTCCTTCCTTCGTCCTTGGATTCCTCGAAAGCGACGCACGGTCGTCCGTGAGACACGTTGTTGTAACTTTTGAACCGTTAGAGATATCGCAATGAAATTTTCGCTGGAAATATTTAAAAAAAAATAACCGTTCTCGGCTGTAGGTGATTACATTTTTTGCATTTGTTAAATAGTAATTTTTAATTGACATTGACTGATGTTTTCTGTGAAACAAATATATTGTTTAGGTACCATTTTGCAGGCTGCTTTTTGCTTTCTAAACGCGCATTTTTATATTTATTTATGTGACGTTTCGTGGAACACGTCAAATATTAGTTTGTAGGCAATGGCAAGGGTAACAATTTTTATCATTAATTAGTTGGACAAACTTTAATAGTTTATAAACTAGAAATTTATATTATTTATTATATTGTATTTATTATATTATTTATTATATTATTTACTATATTATATCATATTTATTTTATTATCTACTATATTATATTTATTATATTATTTACTATATTATATTTATTATATTAATTATTATATTATATTTATTATATTATTTACTGTATCATATTTATTATATTATTTATTATATTATATCTATTGTATTATTTATTACATTATATTTATTATATCATTTAATATATTGTTTACTACATTATATTTATTATATTATTTACTATATTATATTTATTATATCAATTATTGCTTTATATCTATTATATTATTTATTACGTTATATCTATGATATCATTTCTTACATTAATTACCCCTAATTTCTCGTCGAATTAAAAAAATGACAGCATAATCGGATTCTATAATCCAAAAGAAATGAAACTGTCTTACTCACGATGAAAGATAGGGACATAAAAATATCGTTCATTTAACTCATATTTTCGGGGATCCGTGCGACCGTGCGCCGTGCGTCGGCCACGCGTCCTTCGCGGCTGGCACCTTGCGTTAGATAGCAACCGGTGTCATCCGACGCAACCGCGCGCACATGTTGGACCTTTTCAGGCAGCGTTCGTCTTCGCTTCGTCCTTCTTGCTCGCGACTCCACTCTCACTTTCTTCCACTCCGCACACTCACTCACACACACTCTCTCTCTCTCTCTCTCCCTCTCTCTTTCTCTTATCCGGCCTCTCTTCGCGGCGTCTTTCTCCCGGGCTCCCACCCCTCCGGCATCTCGCTCCCCCGCGCCACCGGACGCGTCCCATCCTCTCCTCGGGAAAGAGTTACAGCATCCTCCCGTGGACGTCGGCTCGCAATAATCGCATGGACCGAACGTTCCGGCTCCCCACCAGCGAATCGGGTGAATCCTATAAATGCTCTCCGCGTTCCTCGGGACGAAGAAGTCATCTCTCACGGGGCCGATCAGCTCCCGCGTGTGAGAGACCACGCACAGCCACTTCTATGTTCGCAACCGGAGTGTGTCCCTTCCACGCATGGTGAACTGTTTCGTCGGTTGTCCCGGGAAATAGGACGCGCGACACGACCACGATGGTAAGTAAAGTGCGGGCGTCCCAGTGAACAAGTGCCGCGTGGCTCAAACGATGGGGCTGTACACGGGCTGTGCAATCGGGGCAAAGGATTGTTCCTCTCGTGACGGTGGACTGTGCCGCGGCGAACGCCGCTGGCCCGCGCCGGCGGCCGCGGCCTCTCGCGCAGCGGACCCACTAGGCTGCCCCGACGGGCCCCCCGTGATCTTGTGCTTCGACGTTTCCGAAATAATCGTGATTGTAGTTGCTGATCGATTGCTCTGATTAGGGTATTGGTCGACGAGTTCGGGTATTTTAGTGGACGCTGTGTCGTCTTTCCGAGGCGGTTTTTGGTCGATTTTCGAATTTGTCTGGGTTCAACGAGGGGCCATGCTCGGATTTGAGAATCGTCGCATGTTTTAAGCAGATTGAAATAATTTATGTAGTTTTTTCGATTTAGAAAGAGTTTTATTTCGAGTGGAGAGAATCGAATTTGTTGACGCTTTTTTCGGATAAAAATTGAACTCGGTGTGACTTTTAGTATGTTTTGTGTAGTAGTTTTGTCTTTTCTATAGTAGTCTTCTGGAGAGCTCGATGTAACGGAAAAATTTACTGCGACAGAGTCAATTCTGACCTAATCGAGACCTAACATATAGCTAATCTACATTTAAAGAATATGGCTTTTTATTTCATTGTAGTTTGCTGCGATTGAGGTAGAGAATTTTTATTTTATTTTTTAACTTACTAAAATGATTGCAGACAATTTTTGTTTCACTTAGTTTGTTGCAATTTAAGTAGACAATTTTCATTTGACTTCTAGTTGTTGCAAAATGGGGTAGAATATTTTTATTTCATTTGTTAGCGTGCTCAAATTATTTCAGACAATTTTTGTTTCATTCTAGTTTGTTGCAATTGTGATGGACAAATTTTATTCGACTTCACTTTGTTGCAATTTAGGGAGACAATATTTATTTGACTTCAGATTGTTACTAAGTGGGGAAGAATATATTTATTTTATTTTTTAGCTTGCTCAAATTATTGCAGACAATTTTTGTTTCATTCTAGTTTATTGCAATTGTGATGGACAAATTTCATTCGACTTCACTTTGTTGCAATTTAGGGAGACAATATTTATTTGACCTCAGATTGTTGCAAACTGGAGTAGAATATTTTTATTTTATTTCTTAACTTGCTCAAATTAGTGTAGACGATTTTTACTTTACTCCAGTTTGTTGCAATTGTGGTAGACAAATTTTTCTCGACTTCAGTTTCTTTCAAATTGACGTAGAATATTTTTAAAACATTTTTATTTGCCTTCAATTTATTGCAAATAGAAGTAACCAATTTTTACTTGACTCCTTTGTTAAATCTAGGTTAGGTTTGAATTAGTTCTGAATTCTCCTTTCGCCGCAACAACAAATTTTTAAAAAAATACAACTAGATTTTTAATTTTAACAAAACGTAGTCCCAATTTTTCTACAGACTTTGACGAAATGTATAAAAATTTAAGTTATTTACGAGAGACTGAACAGTTTAGCAACAATATCTGAGGGTCCAAACTGACCCAGACTTCATCATTTAAGAGGCAAATGGAACAAAAGAGTACATTTTTTGTGCTTGAATATTGAGCTCGCGTAGAATTCGGAAACGTGGAGAAACAGGACACAGTGGAGATCGTCGGTTTTTTTAGTTTGCATGACACGATTACTTTCGTTGATGCAAAACAGTATTTCCACCGGTGAGCTTGCCACTTGGTATTTACACGTACGGCGTCCGCAGCCACTCGGAATTAATAGCGAGATGCGAGCGACAGCCAGCTGTTATCGCGGCAAATGTCAGAGGTTATTATTGTTCCTTAACTTGGAGCCTGTCCTGCTGGAGGCCCTCCGATTCCATTTGTTACGTTGTTCAGTTAGCAACGTTCACAATACCTTGCTGCTGAAACTTTTCATCTCTTGAACCAGGGAAAAATGTTTATCTTCTTTTTGTTTGCTGCAAATTTAGGTAGACGATTTCTATTTGACTTTTGCTTGTTACAAATTGTGCTGAAATATCGCTATTTTACTTGACTTTGTTGCAACTGAGGTAGAAAATTCTTATTTAATTTAACATTGTTGCAAATTGCGTTAGAATATTTCCATTTTACTTGACTTTGTTCCAGCTGAGTCGGGCAATTTTTATTTGACTTCATATTGTTGCAAATTGAGCTAGAATAATTTCTATTTTACTTAACTTTTATTGTAATTGAAGTAGACAATTTTTATTTGACTTCACATTGTTGCAATTTGAGCTAGAATAATTTTCTTTGCTTGATTTTGTTGCAGTTGAGGTAGACAATTTCTATTATGTTTCACATTTTTGCAAATTGGATTAGAACATTTCCATTTCACTTTATTTCGTTGCAACTGAGACGAACAATTTTTATTTAATTTCACATTGTTGCAATTTGAGCTAGAATAATTTCTATTTTACTTAGCTTTTATTGCAATTGAGGTAATCAATTTTTATTTGATCTAACATTGTTGCAAATTGAGCTAGAATAATTTCTATTTTACTTAGCTTTTATTGTAATTGAAATAGACAATTTCTATTTAACTTCACATTGTTGAAAATTGGATTAGAGTGTTTCCATTTTACTTACTTTGTCGCAATTGAACTAGGCAATATTTATTATCCTTCACATTGTTGCAAGTTGGACTAGTATATTTCTATTTCATTTTACTTTGTTGCAACTGAGACGAACAATTTTTATTTGATTTCACATTGTTGCAGTTTGAGCTAGAATAATTTCTATTTTACTTAGCTTTTATTGCAATTGATGTAGTCAATTTTTATTTGATCTCACATTGTTGCAAATTGAGCTAGAATATTTCCATTTTCAATTACATCGTTGCGTATCGTGATAGTACATTTTTAATTGACTTCGGTTCACTGCAACGAACGCAGGCAATTTTTACCTCACTTCGTTGTCTCACGATCGAGGCATAGAATTTTTTCGTCGACTTCACAGCGTTCCACAAAGATCTACATCTCGCAGCTGTAGAAATGTAGATCCTTATCAGAGGCATGCACGACACCTGTTCACCGTGCGAAAACGCTTCCTTAATCAGATTGTCTGCCTCTCCGCGGTGTTACACACACGTGTTATTACTTAAATTGATTTTAATAGTAACCGCACGGGATTGTGAATCTACCTGGCTCGTCTGCCCAAAGCTATCTTCGTGATCACGTAACGTGGAAACTTTTTGCTCGCGAAAGGTCAGCCCGGCGCTGCGATACTCTCGTAAAAATTGCCTCGCAATCGAAATATTCGATTGGCGGTGGTGCATCGTTAGAAATTTCAACAAGTCGCTGTCGCAACCGAAGGTCTTCTCTCTTGACCAGTTCTCAAGTAGCCCCGCAGTGGATTCGAATTCTTCCACGCGCAATTCCACGCATATACGATGCCGATGGCGATGGTAACAGGTTCACATTCCCCGCGAAACAACGAACGCTTGAACCCGGCGAAGTTCGACTTTCCTCTGAACCATCGGGAAAATCATTTCTCGAGGTTCCGCGATACACTTGATACGCTTCGATGCAAGTTCATTAACTTATTTTATCACCCTTGAACGGTGCAAAGGGTCACGGGTGATCTACATATTATTTTTCAATTTTATTATTTCAATTTTATCTTTTCTATTTTATTATTTAATTTTATTATTCAATTTTATTATTTCAAGTTTATTGTTCAATTTTATTATTCAATTTTATTATTTCAATTCTATTATTTCAAGTTTATTATTCAATTTTATTATTCAATTTTATTATTTCAATTCTATTATTTCAAGTTTATTATTCAATTTTATTATTCAATTTTATTATTTCAATTGTATTATTTCAAGTTTATTATTCAATTTTATTATTCAATTTTATTATTTCAATTGTATTATTTAAAGTTTATTATTCAATTATATTATTTCAAGTTTATTGTTCAATTTTATTATTCAATTTTATTATTTCAATTTTATTATTTCAAGTTTATTATTCAATTTTATTATTCAATTTTATTATTCCAATTTTATTATTCCAATTTTATTATTCAATTTTATTATTTCAATTTTATTATTTCAATTGTATTATTTAAAGTTTATTATTCAATTATATTATTTCAAGTTTATTGTTCAATTTTATTATTCAATTTTATTATTTCAATT